GGAATGTATCATTAGGTAAACGCTCCTCTTTTGGTCTTAAATGGTTGATTACTTTGCCACACAAATGAGTTTAGTTCCAGACTTGAAGGGTGTCTAACGGCCGCGTTTATGTATATCCCACCTGTCCTTCTGTGACCAGTATGCCAGGTCTCTTGTGTTTTTGAGTTTTGTTACACATCTTTCTTCCACTCTATGCAAGATCTTATGTCAGTGGTTCTCAACCTGTGGGTTGTGACCCTTTTGGGGGTCGAACGACGCTTTCACAGGGGTTGCCCGATTCATAACGGTAGCAAAAGTAGTTATGGAAGTAGCCACGAAAATAACATGAGGAACTGTATTAAAGGTTGAGAATCACTGTCTTAAGTGATCCTTTTCAAAGCAGTTGGTAGTGGTAGCTGGGCGCCATCCAATTCTTCTGGTCTCAAGTTGTGGAGACGGACATTTGCATGGTACATTAGACCATTGGACTGTTTCCATGTCTTTTGATTATCATTATTCTTTCCTCTGGACAGAATAGGTGCACCTGGGATAGCTACTCATAAGCTTTTGTGACCTGAGGCTATTCATGTTGTAGGATGTAGAACATTGCCTTTGTGAACTGTTATGTTGTTAACTATGTGAACTTGGTATCCCCTGAGACTATGGCCCCAATTCCCTAGCTACAGTGACTCATTCCCTTACGAATTTGGTTATGTTTAAGTTATGTTCTTAAATTTGCCTCCTGTATGCTCCACCACATTCATGGATATATGCAGCAAAGGTAAATACACATATATAAATATCCTGTCAAATCTATATATATTTGTGGGTGCATTCCCATTCCGTCTCCACACCTGTTCAGCTTGCATACCTATTGCAGTTAACTCTGTGGAACCATTGTGAATTGGGTGAAAATTTACAGTTCGTGCATATTTTTCCATGTCATTAGTTACAAACCCCCAAATGTACTATAACTTGCCTACTTTCTCGTTTCCCTTTTCCATTGTTCCTCCTCTTGTAACCCTTCTGAACTTTGTCCTTGTACAAATGCTGCCCTTTTGATCTCGAATGGTTGACTATCCAAAAGAGTGCATACCTCCCTAGTATTGTTGTTCCCCTAATTGATTTAAGTAAAATTTGAACCACGGCTGAATTAACAGCCCTGAACTATATAGTCTTGGGGATTCCACCAGTCTCTCAGTGTACAGGGAGCATACAGGAGGCAAAGTTATGAACATGACTTAATTAGTCTCTACCATTGCTTGTCTCTGGCCATTTAACTTTTTTTTTAATTGCTTTGAGTTTTTCTCTCTATTCAGAGTGTTCTAATGAGGATAGTAGTGGTAACTGGGCACCATCTAATTCCATTCCTATAGCACATTAGATACTAAGTATTTCAGTTTCGTTTTCACTTTTCTTTGTTCCAGATGAGACCATTGCAGATGGCTAATCATGACCTTTTAAGATCCCAGTTGCTACTTATCTGTCTTTGTGGACTGTTATGTCAATTGACTTTGAGGTCCACCAAACGAGGATACTAAGTGCCCAGGGCTAGTGACTCACTCCCTCAAGGTTATGACTAAGAAGCTTTCATAACTTTGGGCCCTGTATGATTGACTAAATTCATGGATATATTTTCAGCACAGATAAATTCTTCTGTAGAAATATCCTGTCAAACCTATCTATATATTGCCCCATTCTCCTTCTCATACAGCTATCAATGCATCCATAGTGGGTTATTACAGGATTATGTATATAATTACATAGAAACATATACATATTTAACTCTACTGCCTTTAACTTATACTCCTCCCAAGAGTCTTTCTTTGCCTTCCATAAAGATTTACAAAGACTCAGAAAACCTATGTAGGGTCTTAAGAGTCAGAATTGACTTAATGTCAGTGGGTTTGGGGGGTTTACCCTTCCTCTCCTGGTAAACATCAAAGAATATTCTTAGTGTGGAACCCTTTTGACTTTTTATAATCGTGTTCCCATACACTACGTGTAATTTTGTGATTGACTAAATTCACTCAACATAATGTCCTTGAGGTTCATCCATATTATGGGATCTTTCATACATTCATTGTTCTTTAATCTTCCATAGTATTCCTTCAGAGATATACCATACATATGCACTACCATATATTATTTCCATGTTTTCTTGATGAACATGGTTGTGCACATATTTATTTATGTCCTTACTTCTCTAGCATATATGAGAGAACTTTTATAAGCTCATGGAAAATGTATATTATGAAAAAAACTTGCATGGATTTCAATTTTTCTCGAACCAAAATAAACTTTAATTTTTATTTTAACATGCTTTAGCAGGACCTATCTTGAGGCAGTAAGAAAGATGAGACATTTGAAAAGAGCCCCTATGAGAGCAACAGGAATTCTGCTAAAATTGAAGAACACATATCAAATTCATGCAGAACCTTGAGTATAAGAATGGTGAGATCATGGACACTTGACAAAAAGTTTTTGAGGACAATGTCCCAAAGAAAGAAGAAATAATTTAAAGAAGCAAATGGATAAATTGCTTTCAGACTAGATGAGTAGATGTTCAAGATAGTCTGCAGCAGTAGACCACTCACATTAATTTTCAAGGGAACAATTTTGTCCTCGCTCTAATGGAAAGATACCAGTGATTAACAGCAGATACTAACCAACACCAAAGACATCCCAACTGGTTCAGCTAACACAATTCTGATTAAAAAGTTAAAAGTTGAGCAAACTTTCCATTCAATGGATGCCAAAACTGTTAAGCCAAGATCAGGTGCAGACAAGACCAGTTTTCTATGAAAAATTTAAACAAGTGGTTTCAAGATCAGGAATCATTTCTTGGAAAACTTGTAACTGATAAAACATGAGGTTACCAGTAGGACAGTGAAGACGAAGCACAATAAAACAAACAGCTAGAAGTAGCAGTCAAAGCAAAATCTGACCAGTCAAGGGAACAGGTTATGACGTTTTTCTGGAAAGCTCAAAACATTTTGCTTGTTTCTGGAGGATTAGAAAACCAAAGCACCCATTTATTGAGGATTTTTGTTGTTGAGAAAGTTAACCAAATCTTTAGAAGTGTGGCGCAATTTCACTAGAGCCCTGCGCCACGACAATGTTGCTGCTTAGTCCACTCTCCAAATAGGTCCAATTTGGAAAGTTTTGATGAGAAATCCTTTGGCATCCACGTTGGTCTAGATATGGCACTTCTGACTAATCTTAAGAGCCCTGGTGGTGTAGTGGTTACTTGTTGGACTGCTAATCAGAAGGCCAGCAGTTTGAAACCACCACCCTTTGAGGGAGAAGGACTAGGCCTTCTATCTTGTAGTAAGTCTCAGAAACCCACAGGGGCAGTTCTGCCCTGTCCTGTAGGGTCACTGAGTTGTGGGCTCATAGCAGTGTTTGGTTTTGGCTTATCTTTAGTCCTTAAGGGACACCCATTGTTCTTCTGTTACTAATGTGAACAAGACTACACCGACATCACTATATACCCAGGACCCTCAGTCCGTTAGGGATGGACTTGTAGCATCACTTGTAATGTGGTGGCTTGAATCATCACTTGCAAGTGTATTTAGAGTGATGGTCTTTCTATTGAGAATAAAAGTTTATATTTTTATCTCTTAATCTCAAGTTTCCCAAACTTTTTGAAGACCTGTTGGTATATCAAGTAGTAAGATTACTGGGCCATATGCTATTTCTATTTCCAACTTTTAAGGAAGCACCATGATGTTTCTCAGTGGTTTTACCATTCTAGTCCCACCAAGTGTTTGATAGTTCCTTTCTATACCCAAGCCAGCATATACTTTTGAACTTTGCTAATTATGGAGATTGTATCCTATTGTTTTAACTTGCATCTAATGGCTAATGATTGTGAGCATTCCATGTGTATCAGCCACCTGAATGTCCTATTTGGTGAGTTGTCTGTTCATGTCTTCCGCTGATTTTTAAATTGGATTACTTTCTTGTTGAGGTGTTTTAAGTTTTCAGTAAATTTTAAGTTAGTACTTTTTATTGTCATTGCCAAAAAATGTCTGTAGGTTTGTTATTATTTTGATGAGGTCTTTCAATGCACTAAGTGTCTAATTTTTAAGAGGTCCCAGATATCTAGTTCACCTTCTACTGTTTTCAGTTATGTTTGAGTGTGTATTTATGTCATGTATTAGGACCCCTAATTTTTTTCCTATTTTTAGATTTTGGTCTTTATATAGTTTACCTCTATATAAAGGTATATACCTCTAGGCTTTTGATCCATTCTGTTTTTATATGTAGTGTGAGATGTGGGTCTTGTTTCTTTTTTCTGAAAATGGACATCCAGTTTTGCCAGTATCATTCATTAAGAATATTTCTTCCACTTTTAATGTGTTAGCCCTTTTCCAAACATCAGTGGTCCATAGGTGGATGGATTTATGTCTAGGTTCTTAATTCTATTCCATTTATCTATGTCTGCTGTTGCCTGTTTTGACTACCATGAGGATCACTGCTTTTTGACTGAGCCTCGTACACCTTGAGGGGTTTCTGGTGCTGGGGATGATGGGATGAGGCCTGTTTCTCCAGATTCCATTATATACACACCCCACCAGATGACCGCATGCCCTGAAAGTGGGTTAGCAGTATAATAAATCCAAAGCAGAAAATTTGAGTGGGCAGTGTATGTCCCATGAGTCATGAAAGGGTTAATCTAAAATTTGTTAAAACCCTTACAAGCTTCCCATGTTCTCAAAATTTTACCTCAATACCCATTCATTTTAGTATAAGAGATGTATATAATATATATTACTCCCAAGATGGAAGCAGCTTATTGTTGAAGCTTTATCTTTTTCCCCTCTAAACTTTATCTTTTCCAACTGCTTGTCGTCTTTAAATTAAAGACAGACAATTTCTGCCAGCTAGATCAGCTTCGTCTACTGATGTGACATGTGATTTGTCCCTGCAGAGTTGACCTTGTAAATCAGTCACACAAGAACATTACATATTTTCCCATTTAAAGTCTGCAACTGATTAATTATTAAGACTAGTTCTTGAAAATCAATAGTTTATTTTGTGTATTTAAATTTTCAACGATTTCTGAAAACAAGGTATTTTCATTATATAAGCCAGTGCATTCCTCTTTATAAAGTGTCTAACACATGGTAATACAAAGATGGTTTAAAATGGACTCAAAGTATCTTTTGATTGAACCAATTTCAAGTCATTTCTTTAAACACAGTTAATCAAGAGTTCCTGGAAGATGGGTTAAATGGTGAAAAAATGGGCGACCATGAACACAGCCTTTATCGTCGTTTCCAAACTGGTCCTTTATTCTCTGGACAACGTCGAGGACGTCCTCTTTTGAAAAGTACATAGGTAGCTGTCTACAAAGCCGCACTGCTTCTCCCTGTGAAGATAATGGCACACATTTTACAGTGACATACCCTGAAGCAGAAAACATGTTATCTGCAGAAAGGAAAACAGAAAATGGGTTATATTATTATTCATTCACTCAGCACATATTTAAGGAACACAAATATCTGCTAGTCAAGAATAGGCTCTAGGGATACAGCAGAGAGCAAGACAAACAAGAGCCTTACTCTTGTAAAGCTGCATACTAGGGCAAAGCAGCAGAAACAGACAAAAGTAACAGTGCAGAAAATGATGGCTTGGTGATTTGGTACTTGGGAAAGGTTTCCTCAAAGTGACATTTAAACTTCACCTTAAATATGGAAGAATAGAATTTCCAGTGTGAATGTAGACTAGCTATTAAATAGAAAAAAATGAGCAAGATAAGCCAAATCATATCGGTCCTTCTAGATGGCTACGGACTTAGGATAGAAAAAGCAATTTTGAATGCACAGGAAGTAACCAGAGGTTTGTAAGCAAGGGTATGATACTCAGTCTGCAGGTTGTGTGAATAATGGTTTGAGGCAGAGACGGAAGCAGGGAGCCTGTAACCATCACGACAGCCCAGGAGAGAGGCTTTGGCTACAATGATAAAAGTAAATATGGATGGAGGTAGAAAGACTTCTGATAAGACTTGAAGGTAGAATTAAGATGACTTGCTGTTGCCATGGTTATATGGGAGAATAGTTATATTTCTGGTAAATAATCTGTGTACTAAGATAAGAGGATCAGATTTGTACTTAGATAGTACTAACTAGCAAGGTTGGCTGCTCCTTAGATTTATTTATTCAAATTTATTTGAGAGCTCTTGAATATTAACATTATTCTTTGTAACCACACCCTCTCTTTTCATCAAAATATCCTCCTCCTTTATTCTAATAAAATCTGTTCTTTTTCTTCATTTTTGACCTTTAACCTTTGCAACCAGTCATTTTTCTCCTGGCCCACCAGCACTTCTGTCATTCTTCCCAACTTAGGCTCTAAAGTACGACATTTCTAAGATACTATCTTTAACATCCTGCATTCCTTTTGGATTACCAGATTCAGTACACAAAGCACTGTACACAATTACCTCAACTTTTGTGTGAGTCTGTGTGTTTTTAAAACTCACACTAACTTTCATGAGAAAAGATTCCTTTGAAGTCTGTAGAAACTCAGCATTACATTGCCCCATAATATGCTGGGAATGTCCATTAGACAAAGCTCCTGAGGATTTACAAAATTACTGGCTATATTTTTCAGAAAGGGCAAAGAGTGGACTTCCCTGCAGAGGAATTCTGGTGCTCAGAATGCCAAAGGTATATTATGATTACATTCTAAGCAAAAATGGCTAGTTTAAAAGAAGATAAATTATATTAGAATTCTGGTCTGAAATAGTAAAGCTTATTACTTCAAAAATATAAGTTTGGGAGACAATTGCTATTGCTTTATCGCTACTTGGGCATTTTATCATCTTCCCCATCACTATTATTTAATTTTAAATTAATGCTTTAAATCCATTTTTATAGTCCTTATTTGTGTTAGATATTCTTAGAAAACTCTCTAGTGAGTAAGTAACATAACACTATTAAAAGAGATCAAGACTTAGAATATTACTGTTCTTTTCAGGTAAGTACAATATTTTCCACTTAATGTGTCCACACATATAAGAAACTAAGACATAACTGGTCTGCATTATTTGCAAAACAAACCAACAAACAACATCCCCAAAACAAACTTGTACACAGCTAAGCATTACTGTATAAAACTATGATATATGGGGAAAAAGGGAACAATTTTGAATTGTTTCTAAGGTGATTAATTATGGAGATTAAAAAACAAACATAATTACAAATATCTTTCTCGACATGAACCCAAGACTTAATACACTATGATACACTTCAGAATATAAAATTTTAAACACTATCACTTCTGTGCAAATATTTGCATGTCTGTGCAAATCACTTCTGTGCAAAAAACACTATCACTTCCGTGCAAATTATCTGAGTTATAAACCTTGCAGTAATTGTTTAATATTTCGAACCTGGTTGTTGTTGTAGTGGTTGGGTGCTGCCAAGCCCGTTCCCACTCACAGCAACCCCATGTACAACAGAACAACACTGCCCGGCCCTCACCACCCTCACAGCTGTTCTGATGGTTAAGCATAGGGATTGAACCTTGCTGGCAATTTGAAACAGTGATTTTAAAAACAACTTACTACTTTATGCCCTAGCTCAGCTACATAACTTAATAATACGTACCTCCAAATAACTTATCACTTTTCGAGGCCTACATTCATAAACTTCCTTTGCATTTTTGTTTAATATAGCATTAAGAATTTCTTTTAAATCCATTACTCCATAGAATGGGAGACAGTTAGCCATTCCTTCTATTTCTAAGTAGTTTTCAGCAATGGAAACTCCTGAAAGAAAAAAACACAAACCAAAAAAAAACAACCAACCACTCCACAGTCATTTTAATTTAAATGATATTCCAGAACATGTCCATTAAAAACAAAATCAATGGTAAAACATTTAGTTATTCTTCATTAGAATTCAAGATAGCTAAAACAAAGAGTTACTTCCTTACTTGGAAAACAATATTTTCCCGTAGGATTTCAAACTCATATTAAGTAGTAAGTGCTCATTGACAACACATGTGCTTTATGTACTCTAATTTAATCTCAGTTACTGCTGTTCTGTCCTTACTGCATTTGTTTAGAACATTTCTTAGTTTGTAAGAAAACAGAGTCCCATGATATTTATTAAAACAAAAACGGTGTGTTTTAACAAGTGCTGCAATGCAAATTCTGTCCTACTGGTTTAATATGTAACTTAAAGGCCTAAGTTATTTCTGTGATTATCTTAATTTAAAAATGTATGAAAATACCCAAAATTTAATAATAAATAATTTGAAGAAATAAGACATTAATATTTGTTCAAGATATTTTACTAGGTAGTGATTAAAACTGACACTTTTTTAAGCCACTTAAAATTATTTAGTCATTAAAACACAACTAAAAAGTTGCTACATGGCTGGATGTACAATTGGGGAGATAATCTCTAACAGCACAAATTCCAAATCATCAAAGTTAGTCTTAATGTACATTTTGTGATTTTGGAAAAGAGCAGATATATCTTTCCTGGCTATATCTATGTAACAGTGGTTCTTGAAATTTAAATCTACACAATGTCACCTAGAAGGAGAAAGAGAGTCCAATTTTAGGGAAGTAATAACTCTTATTTTGTTAATAAAAGAAGATGTGTACTGTAGCTTGGAGAATTCCCGGTCCTGAGAACTTCAATGATCTATCACCAACCTGTTCCTTGATACAGATTAGCTACTGGATGGTAGATATAGTGATGGCAGACCAAACAGAGCATTCATCCCAGTTTGTCTTGGGAAATAATTGGGGAATGACAGAAGATATAAAATCAAGCATTAAGGTGCATAGTTCAGTAAAAGGAGACACAACGAGAGTTTACAGGCAGAGACACTTAACTGGATTTGAAACAAGGTTAAAATAGACAAAAAGAATGTAGGATAGTCTAGCTCACAATTCTTTGTGTGTGCAGAGTAGTTTACACAACATGCACACACACACACACACACCACTACCAAAAAATACAACAGAGTAAAATGCTTTTAACTATTGATAATTCTAAAACTTTTATGAGATGATTATTAGATTGAAAAGTCTTATAGTGACTGCATTTCCCTAGAAAATTACACACATTTCACAGAACTACTTGATTTGGTAAAGAATGAGGATGATAAGCAAAATTTAAATCTTTGTGTTTGCTAAACTAGATATGGAAACCTTAATAAATATATGTGATTATAACAACTTTCAACAAGTTTCCATAAAATTTTGTGAAATGCTGTTCAATTTTCAGGGAAAACACTTCAAATGAAAATGTTAAGTTTTCACCTGCTGAAATAGGGCATTCTTTCAGATGCAGAACAGAAAGCTAATCTTGTTAATAATCAAAGTTCCTAGAGCCACAGGATGCTGAGGATGGGTATTTTCTTGAAAAGTCATGTATTCTTCAGTTACAGCCCGCCATCCTGATTCACAGGGACAAGCAACACACTTGATTCAAAATGATTCAGTGCAATAAAACTCTCACTAAAAGATAAATAGTCCTTTAAAAACATGATTTATGAAAAATAATGAAGAAAATGACTAAAATAAATAACGATGAAAGAAAACATGAAAGTCTTTACCTTGGCCTATTATCATTAAGGGAAATTAATTATGATGATAATCTAAGTAAATTTCAACCATATCAAATTTGGTTCCAACAGACGTTCTTAAATGCCATGCAAAGTACCCATCGTTCAGTGTTGTTGCGAGGTGCCATCGAGTCGGTTCTGAGTCATAATGACACCATGCACAACAGAATGAAAAACCTCCCAGTCCTGTGCCATTTTCACACTTGCTCCCGTGCTTGATCCCACTGGGGCAGCCACTGTGTCAATTCATCTTCTTGAGGGCTGTCCTCTCCTTCGCTGTCCCCCCTCTACTTTACCAAACATGTTATCCTTATCCAAGGACTAGTCTCTCCTGACAACATGTTCAAAGTATGTATGGCAAACTCTTACCATCCTTGCCACTCAGGAGCACTCTCTGGCCCTTCTTCTTCCAAGACGTTTTGTCCTTAAAAAGATCAGCTTATCTTTTTAAGAGTCAGCAGTACTTTGAATAATCTTTGGTAGCACCACAATTCAAATGCATTAATTCTTCTTCTGTCTTCCTTATTCAGTGTCCAACTTTCACATGCACTTGAGACAATGAAAAATACCAGGGCTTGGGTCCAGCATACCTTAAGCTTCAAAGTAACATACTTGTTTTTCAGTACTCTAAAAGAAGTCTTGTCCAAGGATGTGAGTGGTCTTGTTATTATACAGAATGCACTGGAAAGTGGAACATGACAAATGTAAATAAGGTAAAATCCAGTACCTTATCATTTGATATCCACTTTGATCTTTTCTTTTGAATGTCTGCCAGGAGAAGCCAGCCCCTAGCACATCATTACAGGTTCGGTAGGTGCAATTGTACAGCAATAATAATTAAGGGTTATAGTAAAGTTATAGAGAGCATGAGAGATAGAAGAGAAATATAGAAATAAATGGAGTGAGACACAATTCATGGTAGCATGCTCACCTCAGCCCTGCTTGGTGGTCCACGTGGAGGGAGAGAGGGAAGGGAAGGAGGACTTGGAGGGAGAGAGGGAAGGGAAGGAGGTCGGGAAAGGGAACAAGGGAGAGAGGACTGGAGAGGAGAGGGGGAAGAGAGGGGAGCGACCAGTGAGAGTTCAGCGAGAGAGCTCTCTTGCTGACCCAGGCCTATAAACATTTGGGGCGTGCAAGCCCACTAATTACAGGTAAAGACATACGTCACAGGAAGGGGTTGCACTATAGGTTATACAGCAATGAGAGGGGGTGGTCTAGGGACATACATGCAGTAGGAAGAGGAGGGATTGGGGGTATACATGTGACAAGATGGGCGGATCATAGATTTAGTATGGCAGCTTAACTTTGACCTGTTCTCTGGGTCTCCATAGGAACCATTATCAGTAAGGTATAAGCTCCGCCTACAGGAGCTGGTCCATTGTCCCCAGCAGCAGGGAGCAGGCCCACCCCTGTATGTGGGAAGACAGAGATGTGGCAGAGATTGCAAGGATCTGACCTACCCCCACAAATGTCCTTTTGCTTTCTTCATGAATGATGGTCTTGATATCCTCCCATAGCTCATCAAGTCTTGTCATTAGTTTAATGAAACAAATTTGTTCTTGATATGATCTTGAAATCCAGGTGATACACTCAAGGTCATATTTTGGTTCTCATGGACTTGTTTTGTCTTCAGTTGCAACCTAAATTTACATATGAGCTATTGTTGGTCTGTTTCATAGTTGGCCCCTAGCCTAGTTTAGCTGCTGATATTGAATTTCTCCATCTCTTCCCATGGATGTAGTCAATTTGGTTTCTATGCATTGCATCTGGAGAAGCCCATGTGTATAGTTACCAGTTATATTTTTGAAAAAGGTGTACATGATACAGAGGTTGCTGATCATGGACTCTCCAGCTTCATTTCTGTCACCAGGTCCTTATTTCCCAATTACTGTTCCTTCTTCTTTGTTTCCATGTTTTGCATTCCAATGGCCAATAATTATCAATGTATCTGGAGTGCATGTTTATTCAACTTCAGACTGAAATCCTTGGTAGAATTCTTCAATTTTGTCATCCCTAGCTTTTGTGGTTGGTGCAAAACTCTGAATAGTAGTACTGATTGAATTTCCTTGAAGGCAGACAAATATAATATGATCAGACAACATAGTAATTCTGTAAGGTCCTTTTTGATAACCAATGCTATGCTACAGTATGCCACAGTATGACAAACTGGCAGCTAAGTGGTGGTGTCCTTCAATAGAACTTAAACAAATACTATCTACATGTTAATAGCTAAATAGTTAAGATAAATATTCCTATTACTGCATGACTATGTTCGTTTTTTTTAACTACTCAGCAAGTGCAACAATGAACATACTCCTACAAAAATAGGTAAGTCACCCTAACTTTTAAAAGAAATTACTGTGATGAGACAAACTGACATTTAATCTTTCATAAATACAGTACCTGCCACTACTGCCATGTAGTTAGAGAATTAGATTAAGTCAAGATATGGTATCTTGCTATAAAGAGTAAAGTAAACCAAAGATACATAAAAGCAATTAGTTCAAAGGGCAATGGACATGTATCTCAGCCTCCATGACCCTGAGACCAGAAGAATAGATGGTGCCCACTTTCCACTGCCAACTCTTCTGAAAGAGGTCACAATAGGAAAATCTAAGCACAATGGGGGAGAAATTGGGAACAAAACTCAAAATACTAAAGTCAATGCCTACTAGTCTCAGTAAAAACTGTTGGAACTCTCAAGACTATGGACCATAGTCAACTTCAGGCCTGGAACTGAACTCACTTTCAGCAAAACAAAAGAAAGGTCAATAAAGTAAACACCACCTCCAGTAAGGTATGTGGTCCTTAGAACAATCACACATACAGACCAAAAGAGTACCATGTGCTAAGGGAGAAAGCCCAGAAAGCAAGAAGGGATAAAATGAAGGATAAATTAGAAATGGTAAGCATGGCTTAGGGAGAAAGGGGGTAGAATGCTGTTTTATTATGGGGGTTATAATCAATTTCACCAAACAAAATGTGTATAAATTACTGCTATAGCAAAATGTGGCAAACAATTTAGATGGTGCCTGGCTATCAGATAAAATAGCATCTGGGGTCTTATAGGTCTGTTTCTAAACAAGCTGCTATTTTAAGTGAAATGTCAACTAAATCCACATGGAAGCACACCAACATCAGTCACCAAACGACTGTAAACCATATAAACCGAAAGCAAAAGAGGGACTAGTATCAGAGCCTAAATTGTGAAAATCCGGTGTGCAGAAGGCTACAGTTGACAGTGGGAGCCCATGATGCATTTGTGGAACTACATAGGAAATAAGCCTCTGGTGAACTCCCTCTATCTACAAATGAGCGGAAAGTGGTTACTAAACAGAGTACTTTGGTAAGATGATTATAGAAAATCAAAGGCATAAATCTGACTTAAAAGCCAAGACTCTTGTCAGCAGATTCCCCATGTGATGCAGGCAGGACCAGATATGGTTTCCAAAATTGTTTGTATTTTTGGAATATGGGTTTTGTGGGGAGAGGGGTACAACAGTGGGGGTGGGGTTACAGGGAGAAAATGTCAAGGAGTCCATGTTGAAAAAGAATGTTTGGAAACTGATTGTGATATCAATTGTACAATTCTGATTGCCGTGATTGAACTATGGAATAATATGTGTATTAAATCCCAATTAACAATAAAAAATAATATTAAAAAGAGTGAAAAAAATTATTGAATGGAAAACCTATATGCTCTGTAAATTTTAACCTAAATCACAATTTAAATTGCTATACACGCAGAACAAAAATATAAACTTGCTTCACACATCAGATAAATGAACAATGAAGAAAAAGATTTCCAGGAGCAAAAGAAATGAGAAGTCAGTTCAAGCCAGAAAGAGGAGCAAGCCAGTGAGAAGAAAATATTTAAACATCTACCATTGCCTAGTAGTATGTTAACTAATTTATGTAAGTTACCTCATGGAGTCCTCACTACTACTCCATGAAATATACATATATACCCAGTGTAATAGGAAGGCAGAAAAACAAATTAGGAACTAGGCCCTAGAGGCAAGTTACTTGGGCTCAACTTCTTTTCCTACAACTATGTACATGCAAAAATGGCCTGGGGAACACATATCACCTCCTCCAGCTTCACAAGGGGGATTGGAATATATCCCACTTATATTCAGAGACTATCTGATGAACAGATCTGATGTACTAACACAATCTGACGCACTAACACTAATGACTGATGACCAGAGCAGTTGTGGGGGTGACATCAAGGACATCATGAAGAAAGTAAAGGTCATTAAAGACAGGAAAGAAAGAAAAGGTCAAAGTGGATGTCAGAAGAAACTGAAACTTGTTCTTGAACATAAAGAAACTAAAGTGAATAGAATAAACAATGAGGTACAAGAGCTAAACACATTTTCAAATGTTAGTTCATGATGACAGAATAAAATGTTACAGTGAAATGTGCACAGACCTGGACTTAGAAAACCAAAAGGGGTAACAGGACGAATACACGAAGCATTTCTCAAGCAGAAAAAGCAGGGGGGAAAAATTTCAGGCCTTGCATTGATTCTGTGGACAAAATATTGAATGATGCATGAAGCATCCGAAGAAAAGAGAATTAACGCATAATCACAATGCAAAAAAGTAAATAAAATCACCATTCAGTCATTTCTAAAGGGTAGCATATGATCAAGAACTGTTGGTATTAAAGGAAGAACACCAAAGTGGACATTAGTGAAAAACAAGGTTCCAGGAATTGACGGAATCCCATTGGAATGTTTCAACAAACAGACGCAGTACTGGAAACACTTGTCAGTCCATGCCAAGAAATACAGAGACAATTAATTACCTGGCCAACTGACTGGAAGATATCTCTATTTGTACCCATTCTAAATATGACTCAAACAATATAATTAATACCCCACAGAAGTAAAATTTTACTGAAGATAATTTTTTAAAATGTTGCAGCAGAACATCAAGGATGGCACAATTTTGTCTCACATACTTTGGATCTGTCATCAGGAAAGACCACTCCCTGAAGGGCATTACTTGATCAAGTAAGGGTCAGCAAAAAAGCATCAGATCCTCCACGAGATGGGCTGACAACAGGGGCTGCAGCAATGACCACAAACAATATCTGAGAGGATGGCATAGGCAAAGTTGTATTGTGCTTTGGTGTACACAGGATTGCTGTGAGTCAGAAAGGATTGGATGGCATCCAACAACTGACTTTTCTCAGAACAAATTGCTTTTAAATTGGAATTTGCTATTTGGGATACCTTTGTCAAGTTCCAAGTCTAAATATCTTTGTTTACCATTATCTCATCTAGGGCTGAGATGAGATTTATGAAATTTAGGGTCGGTACCCTAAAACTCCACAAATTAAACTAGTTTTAATTTTAGAACAGCAAGGCATTTCCAGTATATACCTAATTTCATGTTTTGGCACGTTGTTTTTGTTTATATGTCACTGGAAAACATTACTTTAAAAATCCCCAACAATGTTTTAGTTAAACTTTTGTTTTTTTCTACTGTGGTCATGACAACTTTAGGAGTAGAAGGGGAGACACTAGAGTCAGTTTTCATGTTACCATTGTGACCTTTAATACCAGATGGAGAGAAAATAATAGGATAAGTTCAGCCTAGGAAGCTAGGGCTGAAGACAATTATATGTGGAAACTATGAAAAAAATAAAATAAAAAACAGAGAAATGGCCAGCCAGGAAAATTCAAGTCCCTAGCCAGACGAATTTTCCTTTTTCCCCTCCACCTGATGAATTTTCACTCTAAACAAAGTCATTATAGTCTTTTGGTGAAGCCATGCAGTGAAACCATCCACTCTCCCAATAAAAACATTGCTGATGTTAAATATCTCCTTGGCAAAACCAGTATATACTTTAAAAAAGGAAATGTCCATTTATGCTAGACCATTTCAGTATGCTAAATATTCATGTCAATCTCATCAAAAATATTTTGACAATTTTATTGAACAAAGCTGAAGTTTGAGTGCCATGGGTCAAAGGGTGGGAACAATGACATCAAAGTTACTTGGTTAGTGATAAAAATGAAAATGTAGGCAACGAACTGAGAAAGGCCAAACTTGCTTGTTTCTTTTTTCTTTTTAAAATCATTTTATTAGGGGCTCATACAACTCTTATCACAATCCATATGCACATCAATTGTGTAAAGCGCATTCGTACATCATTCTCAAAACTTTTTCTCTCTACTTAAACCCCAGACATTAGGTCCTCATTTTCCCCTCCCTCCCCGCTCCCC